ACTGTTTTGTTTTTCCCCCCTGGACTGTTCCTCAGGACCATGACTCTACTCTTCCCTCCCACGCAGGTCAATGCACAGTCAACGATTTGTTCTGCCATTACCACCATCTCTCTGTATTTCTTCAGTAGCCACCATCAACCCCCGACCAGCCCAGGAGTGACCCCGCTACGCAGCTCGGCCCATCTCATCCATCTCCTCACTCCTCACCTCCTGCTGATGGTCGACACCCGGCTACTCCTCATATTCAGAGCAACGCATTATTTCTTTTGTATATATCACAGCACTGTACATAAAATATTTTGATGATTTTGCTTGTGCTTGTGGGTTGTGTTTTTAATATATATTGTTTATTGCAATGTACAGCACTTTGGTCCACCTTGGTTGTTTTAGTGCTTTATAAATAAAGTTGGTATGGTATGGTATGGTAAATCACAGCTTGCACCGAAGTCAGCTACCTGGGTCTGCCTCTTTTTCTCGCTCGCTCACTGCCGGGTGCGAACGACTCCTAACAATTCTTTTTACTTTTCAAAACATTATCCATGATGCTATTGTAATCTGAGTTTGTGATCAGCCCATATTTGAAAACACATCATCAAAACATCAATGACAGAAATGAATCAGGAGAGTTATGGAGGAATCAGATTTGGAAACTGAACTCAGTTGTGAGTTCCCCACACCAGCAGCAGGTTGAATAAGAAACATGTCTAGAGTTAAAGCAGAATGTGCTGTTGTGTGCTTCCAGGAAAAAGTAACCTTTGAAAAGCCCTCCTTAAAATATCAACTTTACTCCATGTAGGCCTACATGGTGGGAAAGAGACACCAGATGAAGCCTGATGGGTAAAAGAAGTATCCAAAAGGAGAGAGAGTCTTCAGGGATGTATCTCTCTGATGTGGAAAAGTGGCTGTAGTGGTTGAAAATAAACAAGGTTCCAGAGGTAATATGTAATAGAACATATTTAGATATTATTTATAATAGTTGTGTAAAGGATGTAAGGCTGATCTAAGTGTGTACGGAAACTTGATCTGTTTCTGGCGCAGGCAAGAATATCTTGGGCTGTGCCCCCCTTGTTGTGTGTGGGTAGCTGGCATGGGACCGCGTCTTCATGGCTCAGGCCATGGAGGGCTGTGTAAGTGCGAGCCGATAAAAAGCTGGGTTAGAGCAGAAGAAGAAAGAAGAGAGGATGACAATGCTACTGTGACAGGGAGAGTATACTTTGTGGGGAACCCAGCCGGCTGGGGGGACGCTGAATTAAGACTGACTGCTGACTAAGACTGACTGGCGCTCTGACAATCTTCTTCTTTATACTGTATCCATTCCATCTGTTCTCTGTTTCCCTAACTACAAGATTATCTGTTTGAATACTACTATATTCAGAATAATTGTAATATTAAATGATCACTTAAATTGGGATGGTTTGTCTGAATTAATTTAGTCGGCATCACACGCTAGCCACGACATGGCACTTGGAAAAACAGACTGTGCACCATAGATTGTCTGTTGGTCTCTACCTCCTGCCCGCCTCTGTTACACAAAACATGACAGGGGCCACAAGCAGGAAGTCATAAAGAGAGAAAAATCATAGCATTAAGTTCTTCTGCTTTCAAAAACCACAACACCTTCAGCCAAAATAAAAGGGTTGGTATTTTATTCCATGGATTGTAGTTTTGTTCCAGCTGGTGGCTGCTTTAGACTTCAACAGTAACAGTGAGCTGCAGCTGGAAGGATATTATGGTTCATACTAGCTGTTTTGCATTTAAATGAATGGCAAGATCCTACAGTAGGCCGTGTTAGTGAAGGGAAAAATCAGTAGTGTGGTGTACTGTATGTGCTTGTCATACATATGACTAATATCTGTATTGTACCATATCAGACCTGTGAAAGCTGAGTCTGAATATCACTCCCAGTGATCTTCTATATCACTGGTGTTATTCTGTGTATTTCTTACTGGCATCAAATCCCATGAAAAGTCATCACTCAATAACCTCTGTAAGCCCAGTCATTTCTTTATTAAGACCTAAACTTTGAAAACTGAGTAAAGAGATGGATTATTCTAAAAATATTTGTTCTCCGTGCATTGTAAGTAGGGAAGTGGTCAGAGTGGCTGGAAACTTGCACTGACCCTGCATGTGATTAGGTGACAACCGAGATGACTCTCTTTCAGTAATGGCCGTGAATTTCCTATGTATAACTGTAAAAGCTTAATGTTTTAGTTGCCATAATCTGGACATAATCGGGAATCTGTAGCTGCCTTTGCAAATACATTGTGTATACAGAAAATATTTGCAAATGAGTATTATACACAGGCTCATTAACTCGCTTTTTTGGATGTGCAGTAACTATATCACCAACCACTAGCATGTTTAATACTTTAATTCTTTACAACTAAGTGAACAAATATCAGCATCAAAGTAAAATAATTGGTTAATTAGACTGTGAGTTGAGGTTAATGAACTTGGCCTCAGTAAAATCCTGCCTGTGGCCCTGCTTGGACTTTCTGGGTGCATTAGAAACAAGCAGACACATCTGAAGCAGCCTGTCTGCGGAGCTCATTGTTCACATTTAGTGTACAATGTGAATTTTGCAGTGGACATTTGAGCCATTCTATGTCCTGTGAATAAATATGCTGTGCAAATGTGTGGAGCTAATTTTCTGCTTTTGCAGGCACACACACAGTCTTAAAGTATTTGAAAGAACCAGATTGGTAGAGAGGCTGCTGCCCTGTGTGGTAATTATGTCGTGTATTCTCTCTCAATCTCTCGGTCTGTCTTTTCACATTAAACACACACACTCACAAATACTGACCAAATCACAATTCTGTTTGATAGCCGTGTCATTATCCTGATACCACCCTGTCTTCTGCCTTCTTCCTAAATTTCCACCGAAGCTGGAGTTCTATTGCGCTCCATCTCGCCGAAGCGACGTGCTCCAACAAACATTTCACCACCAAAACTGAGACTTGTTTTCCTGCACTGCGCTGTTTTCATCCACCTGTGCCCCCGCCTGCATGTGCCCTTGGCAGCGCGCATCGCTCCTTGTTAATCCTGATAATGTTTCGAGCCGCAGAGCTGGGCGGGTGGCATCGCTGGGTGCACGTTGCCAAACTAGACCAGCAACTCCATTACGAGCTGCTTCTGAGGATGCACATACCGCGTGCCCGGGAGTGCACCACTCCTCACATTTGGATAGGGAGTTCATCATTCTTAGATCACTGTTATTCCTTATTATTCATATTTCAACAGATTTACCATGTCACATGCCTTCCAGTTCTTCTAGCTACTATCTACTTTTAGGTCCCAACACACAGGCTCGGTTCGGGACAGATATGAGTCAAAGTTGGGCTGGTTCCGAGATTTCTAGCCATTTTTATTTGCGAGGAATTTTTCTTCAGACGCTCTAGGTGTGTTTTATTTTCCCGTCATTAACACACTGCCCACATGCTGTATCCTTGTTGTAGTTGCGCCCAGGGTGTGTGGGATAGAGAAAAGTAACCCTGCGTTAAGTTCACACGGTTAGTCAGAGCATGACCGGAAATTATGTGGGTGTGTATACAAATTAAAAGCACAGATACAACAACTAATAAAATCAAAATGTACAAAGGCCCCGAGCAAATATTACAATACTATATGATGTAATCAGGTGGAAAACTAAAACAATGGAAGACTTGGCTTGCAGACACACCAGGTCTCACCCATCAGGTGTGGAAGACATACTCAGATCCTTTACTTAAATGAAAGTAGCAATAATACTGTACATTTCCCTACTTTAGGTATTTTTGAGTAGTTGCTCAGAGATCCTAATGGCTGAAACACAGGTTTCTCTCCCCCACTGTGGGATTAATTGTGTGAGTAATATTCGATTGTTCTTGATTTCCTGGTTGTTTAGTCTCTACTGCTGTTCCTGATTCTCTCCAGTGCTGCTCTGCCCTGTTTTTAGGTGCCTTTGATTTGCTTATTTGTGCTGTGTAAAATATAACGTTTTGATGATGCTACTTGTGTGTATGGGTTCTAATGCGTTGTTGCCTTTATGTAACTCTTTATTTTAAGACTAAGGCTTCTTTGTTGCACTGCACGGAGTGGCAGCAAGTTACAGCAGCTGTGTCCTCGTTGTGTTCTTTTCTGTGTTTTTATGAAGTCCTGTTCTTACGTGTCTGTTCTTATGATGGTGTCTGTTCTTATGGTGTTATGTTGGTTGTTCTCTATTGCTGCTGTAACAGAAATTTTCCCACTGTGGGATCAATAAAGTACCTACTCTACTCTACTCAATACAGTAGTGTAAAAAGTCCTGTAATCAAATTGGTACTTAAATAAAAGTAGTCATTATGCAGAATGGCACATTTCACATTCTTGTATGTCATATTATATTATTGTATTATAATTACTGATACATTATTGTCTACATCACATTTAATGTTACAGCTAGTAAAGGGAGAGCGAGTTTTGATTCACTCATATGCATTTAATTTCAATTACTGCTGGGTAGCTTGTGGGCTTTCCACCATAGATCAATGAGGTCTTATATTTTTACCGTATTTTGTATTATTCTGGTTCTGAACATTATCTAGTAACTAAAGTTATAGGATAAATGTATTGGAGTAAAATGTATATTTGCCTCTAAAATGTTGTGAAGTGAAAGTATGAAGTAACAGAAAATGAATATACTCAAAGTACTGCTACCTCAAGATTGTACAGTACTTGAGTAAATGTACTTTATGTTGTGTTATTTTCTACCACTGCATCCATGTCATCCTTTATGCTGCCCCCGTACTGTAAGCTTTTAGTTTTCTATCTCTCTTGCCCTTTGGCCATATTTCACATTTTACATGCACAAATGGACAAGAACATGTAACAGAATAACATTTAAAAATGTAGAATTCTCATGAAACACGTCATCAGTGCATTGATTCCTGTAGGCATGAATTTAGCGCATCAAAAAAGCTCTTATTGTGTTAGCGAATGCGGAAGCTTCGTTTTAATTCCAGTAAACCTGACGCTCGTCCCTTGCAGCGACGGGGAGAAGTGTCGATCGGAGGCTCGTCACCTGGTAATGCGACTTTTCTGAGTTGTGAGGCGTCTCCAGGGCTTAGTCTGGCTCTAAAGCTGTCCCACATCATTAATCTACGCTGTCTCTGTCTTTGCACTCAGAGAGTTTACTGAATCATGTGTGACTTTCCTTGGTAAAAACGGGATACCCGCCCTGTGAAACGGCGCCAGATGGATGGATGTGTCCGTTCTGGGACGCACCCGGAATAGTACAGTGAACTGACAACAGGATCAGTGTTCTGCTCGGCTTATTTGTCAGGAGTTCGTCCTTTCTTTGCAGTCTCTGGAATTGTTACATTTACTGGTGGGAACGTGCAACCTTTATTCCACAGGCTTTGATCTCATGCTATGTATGGTGGAAAATACCTGGTGGAAGGTGCACAGCGGGATCCAACCTGGCAGGACAGGGCATCTACAACTGATATAGCTTCGTTTCTTATGTATTGTTTTTATCTTTTCTGTGCCTAATGTGCGTGGAATGAAAACAGAGGATGGATATAATTTGGGAACTACTGATCATTCTTCAAGCCAATTTTATTGTCTGCATATCAGGTGAGTTATGGGCGTCGTTGGTGTCGTTTAGGCAGGTGCACCAAATAAACCCAAGGCTAAATTATCTAAGTTTTTCCTTCAACTCTTTGAGCTGACGGCGGGCTTCCGTTTATGGGGAAAGGATTAATCCACAAGAAATGTGTGTCAGGACGCATTGTGGAAACTGGTAAAATGTTCTTCAGTTTGTGTAGCTGGCACGAATTCCCGTTTTTATCTTTGATTACCTACAGATCTTTTAGTCTCTCGCTCTCTATGTGTGTGTGTGCGCGCGCGCGTGTGAAGGCAATCAGAGTGTAGCCTCCAGAAATGGGTGTGCATCTTCTGACGCACGCATGACATAGGTGGGCTTTAAAAAAACAAAAACACAATGAACATGATGTAGTTTTTTTTCTCCACGCACATATCTCAGCTATAACCCTTCTGTTTTCCGTCACTGTGAAATATCTGGGCTCCAGATCCGACGCTGTATGTTTTGTTATAGCGGTCTGTGTGTGCTATACAGGGGGATGCGTCTGAGCCATCTCCGCTTATCAATGAGCCAATCATTGCATGGCCACACTTTACTGTATCTTGGCGGATACAGGCTTTGTATCAGTTTGATTTTACTCCCGATAGATCACAGGTTTCACTCTCGTTTGGTATTTTTAAATCACTTATTAAACAAAAAACAGGTAATGTAATAGGTACACGTAATAGTCTTGTTTTTTTTACCTGGTAGAAAAAGAAACAAATCAAACTTCCATACTGTACAAATCTTATTTTTAAAAATCAAGACAGTATTAATGGATTGATCCAGCTTTGTAACGACGCACCTAAACCGGTGAAGACTCGTCCTCGGCAAACTGCAGATGAGTGTTTGTGATCGGCAATAAATATTGTTACAGCAGAAAACAGAGAGTAAACGACTCCCAAAATTCACTACAGCAGTATACGCACGTCATGCTGTCCTCTTTCCTTTAGCCCCAGGTTGTCAGTAAGGATAAGTTAAGGTGACAACCGCTACTCAGTGGTCTAGCACCACCCTCTACTTCTGATTGCTTTTAATTGCTACAACTGCAAAATATACAGGACTGTATGTGTTAAAGGTTAGGGTGTTGCATTTGTCTTCCACAGGAGAGAGAGTAGGTTTTGTACTGTTTGTGCTTTACTGCAGTGGTACAACCTAGAAAAAAAACTTCTTATATACTATAGCCACTATACATTAGTTAATGCTATTACTATTTACTGTATCTTCATACAGTTCACCGCTTTGTTTCCCATTGATCCCTTTAGAGATAGCCTCCACTGAACAGACTTCAAATGTAGCCTTTATTTGTCTCAGCCAGTGAAAGCACAATTTAAAATTCTGACTCCAACCTGATAACTAAATAGATTGTACTGAATCATTAAATGTCAAATTTTGACATAAATAGCAAAGTGGCACAAAACCAGCAGCCACACATAAAAATGAAGTGTGGAGAAGTGTTATTTATTTATTTATTTCCATGCAGATCTCACGTTCTCTGAGCATGACAAAAGTTCCATGACAAGTGAATAACTTTGCCCATTTACACCATGTTGCTTTCAGTGCTTGGTTACAATATTGGTAGGGAAGTGTGAGCTTGCATTCACTGGGAGTAGCAGTACCCAATAGAAAGTACAAATAGTCATGGATATGGAGCCATGCTGCTACTCTGCATGCTTAATGTTACAGAACCCTGCAGTATGTTTTCTAACCTTTAGCCCTGTGTGCATTTGTACTTGTTGTGTGAGTCATGTTTGACAGAGAAAACCCCCTTTTGATGATGCTTGGCATTGTAAAAATGTCACTATTTTCATGTCAGTGATATTTGCCTGGTTTGTAGAATATATGACGGAATGAAACATTTATCAGTCAGTTGTTATCATATAGTTTGATGTTAGATTAAATCACATAAATATAAAGAAAAGCTAATACAACAATCTGTAATCTTGTCCAGCTGAGCCTGGACTGTGGACATGAAGGGCTCCCTAGTGCAAAAACTTTAATCCATGATGTAATGAAGAGGCAAAGCTCAGCATTGCTTTAATGACAACAAACAGGAAACTGACTCTGTGGGGATTGTGACAGCACCCTAAGGTGTTTTTCTGAAAAGGCAATGCTGCAATGATGTTTTACAAAAGGTTTTTTTTTTCCTGATACTGTGCCATGTGTCAGTGCTGCTGCTACAACAACAGGGATGTGCAGAATGTTTCTCAGGGGAAGAGGCTCAAAATGTTAAATAAAATTAAATTTTAAATAAAGGGGGGGGGGGGGGGCA